CATGGGCAATCTCTAGCGTAGTGATCCCGGCCTCCACACCTGGAGCATATTTCCCCGATCCGTCGCGTCGCTCCGTTACGGAGCGGGCAGTCCCTGCTCACATGTCCCCTTCCGCTGCACGCGTAGCAGCGCGGGTCCGAAGCATCATTCCTTCTGTCGTCCCTGTTCTCTCGTTCGCGTACTAGGTCCGGCTCCCGCCCGCCTTTAGCCCATCTACGCGTGGCGTCCTCTAAGTCTCGCCGGAATCGCTGGTGGTCTTCGCATAGATCCTTCCACGGTGCCGCCATAGCAGCCAGTGCTGCGGCGGCGTCTCGCCAGTCTGCGAATCTCCTTGTTCCCCCTCGAGTTACCTCTCTGAGTATTTCACCTGGCAGGTTGGCCAGGTAGTACCCCACCAACATATCTGGAGCCACCGTCACCCCTTGAGCCACAATGTCCGCAAAGCGCGCCGAGTATGCGTGGTGGTCGCCCCTCCAGACATTCTTCGCTATCATGACCTTCATCCGTTCCAGAGTAATATTACAGAACTGCTCACAGAATCGCTGTCTCAGTTGCTCCCAATCAGTTAAGGGTTCTCCAGTGCGACGCAGATACAGCCAGAATCTCAAGGCGTCTCCTCGCAGATATCTTTTGAGTTCTTCTCCCCACAGCCGTTCTTCTAGCCCTCTCTCGATGAAATCTAACTCTGCAAGGTCGAGGAAATCCCTCATGTTCTTGCCGTCCTCGTATCCGATGGACCTCTGGGATGCCTGCACTACCCCCCGGGCCATCTGAGCGGCAAGTTCCCGCAAGAATTCGGACAGACCTGGATCCATCCAAGCTTGGTCCCCCACGGGTTCCTTACTCCCTCCAATGTCTCGGAACCAGACTCTCGGTCCCGATCGAGCCATCCCCGCGGTGGGCGGGTCGATGCAGTGATCAGGTTCCGTTCGCGGCGACTCCATAGGGTAGTCCGCGGCTTCTTCGTTTGGCTCAACTATATCCTGCATTTCGGCGTCCGGTTCAAGTGGAGGTCGTACTACTTTCCCGTTGCGTAGGTGCATGTTCTCCCCCGTCCCCGCTGAGGTGTGGGGTCCCCTTCGGGCTTTAAAGAAGAGGGTCTTCCCCTGTAATCGAGCTCGAAATCCTGCCCGGATTGTTTTTAGAAATCCCGGAACAGCCCCCAAATGTAGTGAACAGCCGTCCAGCACTGTTACTACGTATGGTCCCAAGACAAGCCCGACTTAGGTGAGCGCTCGGCTCTGTCGGTCGAAGGTACCTGATTAATAACTAACAGCTGTCTGAAACCTTAATCGACCTTCTTCGATGGAGTTCATATCATTTCAAGGTGAGGAAAATCCCAGAATAATAGAACTGAGAGCTGACCCTCACTGAGGGTCAGCGTCCGAGTCGCGTCACAGCACCAGCCTCGCGCGCTGCCCCGCTGAGGTCA